TTCTTAAAGTCAGCATTCATTAAAGCTTCATTTGAACTGTCTTCATCCGCTTGTATTTTTGTCCTTATTGACCCTATAAGTTGGGCTGCTTTGGCGTTGGCTTGGGCATCTAACCAGTCATTATTAGCTTTTATATATTCTGCGCTTTTCATTGCCTTTTGCATGGCTGCGTCGTTATTTTTACTTTCTTGTGCTAAGTTTTCATACTGTACGGTTTGGTTTTGCAACTGTAAAAGTTTTTCTGCCTTTACATTTGCTTCAACTTCTTTTTTATACTCATCGCTATCCATATATGTCTTCAGGGCTTTTTGTTTTATCTCTTCATCTTTCAGTACTTTATATTGAGTAGTATGGTTTTTCAAATTTATAACATCTTGTTCCATTTTTGCTACTTCTGCTGCTTTTTCTGACACTTTTTTCGCATATTCCTCTGTACTTAGTTCTTTCAGTTGTTCTTCTTTCTTCTTTTTCTCTACGTTTAACTCATTGAGTTTCTTTGTGTGTCTGTCATATTCTAGTTTCTTTTCGTTTTCACTTATTTGTTTCTGTATGTCTATGTTTGACTTTTTGACATCTGTTATTTGATTTTTGAGTGAACTCAAATTCATTTGACTTTGAGGGTTATAGGCTGTTCCGTCTGCAGCTCCACCATAGCCTGCCATTTTCGCTAAAAGTGCCGCTCTTAAACCTCCACTCTGTGCACCAATAACTCGGTTTAAAAGCATAGGGTTGCTTGACATTTGTTGCAACATAGTGGGGTCATTCATAATTTGTTGTTGCAACTGTTGTTGTGGTGTCAGTTTTACTATTGGATGTTTCAATGCTCTCTTCCTCTTACGTATATTCTTACGTAGCTTACGTGGCATTTTAAGTGAAGTTAAAAAGTGGTTTTTGACAGATGTTTATATGACACTTTTTGTTCAGCTCAAAAAACTACTCGGTCAAAGTGTTGTCAGTTTTGTAAAATAACCGTCCTATCTTGTTTTAAAATGGAGAAAAGGCTTCTCAAAGTATACTTCCTTGGAACGCCCGTAACTTTTCCTGTAGCGACGATAGACCCTTACTTGTCCGGACAAAGTTATACTAAACATCTTCAGGGCTAGAGGGCACGAAGTGCCTGGAGGCCCCACTACCTTTTTTTTTTTTTTTTTTTTTTTTTTTCTATGTTAAGTGAGAAAAGGTTCTCCATGGAGAATCAAAAATGAAAATGAATTTATTTAAGGGTATAGTAAACTCAAAATTCTAGAGTTTTGAGAGTGCCAATAAACTCTATAGGCCTATATATATCTATATTTTAAAGGAGAGGTTACGCCATAATATTTGATATTATAAATTATTAATTCAAAATAAAAGTAGAAAATGAAACTAATTTTATTCTAACCTATATAAATATATCAATAATCTAAAATGATTATAGTCTGAACTATATTTTACCAGATTATCAAATATAAGAGAAATGAAATAAGGCATAAAAATATCATAGCATAATTATTGGATAAATGCATTAATAAATTATTTATATCATAATGAGAAAAAATCAAAATAAGAAAATGAGCATAATAATAATTTAATTAAAAACAAAAGCAATAAATAAAATGTAATTTTCGTTAATCAAAGTCATCAATGTCTTCGTCTTCTGATTCCCATTCGGACTTGAAAACTTGATAATCTCCTCCTGGTACACTCTGAATGAATTTTTTGTATTTGTTCTGTTTTTTAGAACCTTTTGTAACAGTTTTTTGTTTCAATATCATTTTGGAGTAACAATTCTCTTCAAATGATTTGACACAATCTTCTGGAAGTGGGGAAGATGTAATGCTTTTTGTATATCTCCGAGAAAATGCTCTGGATCATTCCATTCTAAGATTGCAACGTTAACTCTAATGTTAATGTTCTTCCAGGCTCTTGATTTGTCCAAATAGCATGCAATTTTGGAGTTAAACGCTTCATTCATGCAGGTAGATCCAATGGAAGAAACTTTGGAAACTATGGGTGTCCATTTGTGAACCCAGTCATAGAGCATGAATTGAAGTTGGATCGAATTGACACCTTTTTGCCATTCAAAGCATTTGTAATTGTGCGGTTCGCAAAAAGAATGATTGCCTACGTAATGGTAGACACAATTCTCCCACATTTTCGTACGTTTGTCAATATTTTCTTCGGCAAAACATGACCAAAGCCACATACTTAGGCTTGCATTCAGACCCCAGAAAGGTCTCTCTATTTTTTCAATCTTCTGAGTCTTGTCGTTGAAAACTTCAACTGTCTTATGAGAAGCTGAGAACTTTGTAAAATCTTTTGAGATATTTTTTGATACATGACCTGGATCGAATCTTTCAAGATGAGAGACGCCAAATTCTTTAAAGACAGAGACACTTTTGTTATCTCGGTCTTTAATAATCTCTTTAACATCTTTCAAGATATTGTATTTCTTTAATTGCTTCAAGATGATTCGAGTTCCAGCACTTTCCATATTGTTGGAAGCTCCGGAATACTGAGCATGCTGTCTGTTTCCACCAATATGGTTGATGTTCACGCATGCAAGAACTCTTTTTGTGACAGCATCGAGCGCAGTTACTGTACAACTTGGCGAGTTTCGCCTGTGCGTCCATCTTGCATCAATGGATAAGTAACCACTGAAGGACTTTCTCGACAGCATTAGGGAAATACTTTTAAGTCTTCTAATCTTATCGTCACAAAATCTCTGTTGTCTCATGACACCACTCTTCACAGGGGGCTTAGTTCCACAAAGAGAAAGAAAGCGAGCACCTTTTGTATATGGCATTCCGGTCATTATGCAAGCACCAAGCATCTGTCGCGCTGAGAGTCGACGACGTTCGTGGAGTAAAATGTTATGCATTGCCTTTGTTTTCCGTTTTGGGTGAACAATATGGCCCATACAACAACAAAAAAATGAAATCCCGCCAAAAGTGAAAATTGAATAAAAAGTAATAATTAATAAATATATACTATATCATTAGATGAATATTTTGGAATAACATTTTAAAATCGAGGTTTTTCAATGGATAACGGTTCAATCAAAAATTTGACCCCATTTTAGAATCTACATTAAAAATGGAACATTTCTGTCGTTTCAAAATTCCAAAATAACGTTTCTATTCCTCTCAAAAGTAAAAATAAACTTTATTGGGGAAAAATATTTTTATTTTCCAAAAAAAAATGAAAACCTTAAATGCAAATCTAATTTTGATGCTTTTGTTTGTGATTTTTTGGATTTCGAAAAAAATTTGAAAATTCAGACAAGTTACCATTAACACTAATACGTTTCAGCGAGTCGGTCCCATCAGAGAAATTTTCATAAATCGGCGATATAATTTATTATTTCAGCAAAATATTCTCAGATCCAACTAGAATAAGGTCAAATTATACAAATTTAGCAAAGGCTAGTTATCCTACCTATTCAATTAACTTTAATTTTAAATAATTCAAGACAATTCTCAAAATTACCTTAATAATCGCGTTCTCTTCGCAAAATGACGATTCATCATTCACTACCAGCATAACTGAGGGCTTGTGCTCACAGAATAATACAGATAATTTACTTATTAATGCAAAATTTAGTACCAAAAGGTAATCATAGAAGATACAAAAAAAGTTTCTTTATTTTGATTGCTGATTTTATTTCTTCTAAAATTTACCAAATCTAAAAAATCCAAAATTGAATGCTATTGAATTTCATGTTTATGTAACATATACTATTTATTATATAAGGAATAAAAATTTTATAGTTTTAATCAAAAATAAAG